TTTTTCCCATGAATGTTAAATGTTATCAAAGTAAATCATTTAAATAAAGACACCTTTATCAACAATGCTTATTAACTAGAAATAAAAGTTACGGTCATACATTTGATAAAGTTAATGTTAAGGGATTTGGTTTTCACACAATCAAATTCTATGTAGCACCTTCCAGAACTAAGAATATAAGTGTGTGGTGTTAGTAGTTTAAAATATGTATAATAAACTCAGAATAACTCAATAACCCTCAACAAAACTATGAACTAATTTTGAAATTCAAGTTGAGCTTTTTTATTTATTAATACCTCCCCTCCCAATAGCTCTAATTTTCCTTAAAAAACTAATTTTTTTGTCCTTTGAAGGTGGTTCTGCTATTTAATTAATTGTTGTTATGTTTTATGCAAATAGATTTAGCTCACATTCATGTTGGTCTGTCAGGGTTATGTAAAAATAAAAAAGTAAGTTTCTTATTCGCATTTTTGAGTTTTCAAAAGTATTGATTGCATGACATGTTAATTTGTAATTAATGTGTATGATTATGCGTTTAAATAACTTTGTTCCATTTTTAGTTCCGTTTCTTATAGCTGACTTGATTATGGCTTACCTAAAGCTTAATATTAATGAAACAATGATTCAATTTAAATTGTATTATAAGTAGCTCTGTTGAATAAAATTTTTTTTTGTAATTTGTACTAAAGGTTATATTTTTATTTTATATCAAGAAAAATATGTTTTTAAGTAAATATCTATATTTTTTTATTTTGGGATTTATTGTTTTAAATGGATATAAAAAACATTTTTGCTTTGTCTTTTATATTTCCTTTTATTATATATGAATAGGAACCATTTATGCTTTAATCACCATTAGCCTCGAAGTTTCCATTTGCATTAAGTATCGATTTTTGGCACACACAACAGGTTTAATAACTTAGGCAGTAAAAACAGCTTGAATGATTTGTTAAGAGTCTTTAAAGAAACGCTTTTACGAAAAGCATTAAATAGATAAAGCTAACTTATTTAAAATAATAAGTCTTTAACCCGTTTTTCTATATCCAAATTTACTTTTTAAATAAATGTTGATGAAAGGGTAAAATATCGTTATAGCCTACGTTAATTTTAAATTCTTTTTAAAGAGTTTTGATACTTATTTAAATAGGGTTAATAAAATATTTTAAATTATATTATATATATTATATTTAAGAAATTATTAAACTAAATTAAATAAGATTTTTAGATGAAACAGTAAAAATAATTGTTTAAAATACGTGCGTGCAAATAATTCCTACAAATACTAAACGTAAAATAACGCTTACAAACACCAAAAGTATGTTTGCAGTGAATAAAGTTAAGTTCAAAGATAAATAGGAAGAAATGTTTAAAACTGTTTCAATAATAACATTTATTTTTAATTACTTTTATTGTAAGTTGGGATGAAAAAAAAAGGTCACTGGAGTATGAACTCCCGGGGTGAGATGACTATATCTGTCTAAGTGTTGCGCGTCTACCAATTAGCCCATAAACGTATTTTCTATTTAGAATTTAAGATTATTTATGACGCATAAGAAGTGTAATTAAAAATTCAAAACCAAGTTTGCAACAACTGAATTTAAATAAAATCTAATTAGATGTGTATATGTTATGAACGTTAACTAAGGCGTACTTTAACGGCGTCACGTGTTTAATGTTTTAGCATTTTTCTTAGTTAGTAGTCTTTTTTACGTTTTTTCTTATTAAAATTTTTATAATCGGCATAATATTAAAATCGTTTGAAGTTTTTAAAAGAACATTTTAACAGAAATTTTTTTGTCATATCAAAAAGTAAGTATAGTTTTTTATATGTACATTTTTAAACGGTTTTAAAAAAATATTGAGGTAAGGAATAAGTATAGAAAAGGTCGGTGTGGAATAGATTTATCAAGACCATTAGTTTACGTCCGGATAGCTATAGATAAGTTTAAAAATGGTCGGTTCGGTAAAGACCCGTATTTTACGGGTCACCCTAGCTAGTATATATATATACATATATATACATATATATATATATATATATATATATATATATATATATATATATATATATATATATATATATATATATATATATATATATATATATATACATATATACATATGTGTATATATATAACTACATATGTGTATAATGCATATACATATATAACTATATACATGTATATGCATATATATATATATATATATATATATATATTCATTTATATATATATATATATATATATATATATATATATATAATATATATATATATGTGGTCAAAATCTGAAAGATGAATAACTAATAGGGTACAAAAGCAAAAACAATTATTGTTTTATAAACATTATAGAGGCACACTTGTACAAACAACACGAAAGTTATATAAAAAATTATTTGTTGTGCTTCTAATTTTTTTTGTCTATGTATATTCTTACAAAAAATTATTCTTTACTCTTGATTGAAGTTTATATTAATGAGTGGTGTCAGAAAAAGAAATATTTGGGAAAATTAGAGTTTAACTATTACATCAATGCATTATTGAGAGATAGACAACCCTATAATATTTAAAGTGATAGACAAAGTGTAAAAAATGATATTTTAAAGAAATATGATTGATAAAATCTGCATATGGAATGAAAACAATTTTTGAATGTAATAAATCTACGAGTTACAGAAATGATTCAAAAATTACTGAAATGACTCGTATCTTATAAAAATAGCAACAACTTTTTTTTAATGAAAACAATTTCGAATAAATATGTTATTGCTGTTCTTTAACAAAGTATTAAGCTCATTAAACAGTTGACACATAATCTATTATAATTTATATGATAACAGTTGTATGCATTGTTTCTTTTGGGTAAATAGTTCTTCAATCTCATCAGTATCGAGGTATTGAAAAAGCGCTCAAGACTTGGATTCTGTTTGAAGTGGTTTATTTAGAAATGTACACAAAAAATTAGTTTTCAGAACGTATTCAACCTGTTTTGACTTTGGCCACACAAATGTGTGGTTTTTACGGGTACTAGTACGTTCCATAAAGGAAGCAGTTAGGACAGCATTGTGTTTTTCTACAACCAAACCTGTTTAAAAGACAATAAACAAAATACCATAATTAGACTTCAAACGATTAAGTTAAATTATATTAAACTAGCTGTAAAACCTTTATTAAGGGTATTTATACCATTTGGACCCTTATATTTTTTAAGTTTAGTTTATATTATAATCTATTATATTATTATTATTATTATTATTGTTATTATTGCTATTATTATTACTAATACTATTATTATTAATATTATATTACTTATATTTTTTCGAAGAAAAACTCAATTTGTAAAATTTTTGCACCACAAAGATGACTTTCACACTTTAATATGTTAGGAAGATTCAATTTACAATCTTACCTCGATACCAGTCTTTTTCGAAAATCACGGCCATTAATTATTCTTTAACTATTAAATGGTCATCTATAGAAGAACATCCTTGAATGGCATTTTGACCAACTGCCAACGACGCACCATGAATTGGATCTTGATCGACCAAAGAGAATGCACCTTAAATTGCTTGGTCGAACGCCAACGCAGTACCGTGGATCGGAACTTGAATCGTTTCCAACTTTGTAACTTTGTAACAAATTTGTCACAATTAAGTAACCTGATAAAGATCGAAGATGCCTGTTTAATAAAACATAAGTTTTGTAAGATTTAAAGCATACATATTATATAAATATCGAATAATCACAAACAATGCGTTATTCAAATAAAGTTAATTTTTTCATCGAACTTTTTCAATAGACTTTTTTTTTTACTAAATATAATTTTCTACCTAGAACTACTGTTACTTTCTCTGGTATACATTTTTACATGTTCTTTATTTTTGCAGTAGTTATCTCATCAAGATAAATTCCACGGCATATTCTAGGCAAATGGATGACAAATTCTAAAACTTGTGAAATTTCTTTTCCTTTTACAAAATATTTGTCAGCACTGCGCTTCAGAGTGGCACCAACTCTATCTATTGGTCCTTTACCATGACCTGGCTTTGAGTAGTTACATACACAGTATTTCACGTTCGGACATAAGAGAGGCATGTAGGTTGTGAGGAAAAGTCAGTTAAATCTGTTACGATATTGCGCATATAGTCCGTCAGATATAAAGTAAATCGTATCAACTTCTTGATAATCTTGACTAAGTGTGTTCAGAAAAGGAATCATATGTGCCCATATGGCATGTGCACCATGATCAAGATTTGCTGAAACCGATGCGAATTATTGAGCTGTGCATGGTTCATCTTTTTCCGAAGCTAAATATTGCATTCCTGTGTGCTGAGAGAGCTTTACCTTAGCAGCACAAAAATGCATACTTTGGGATTCTTTAAATAACTTGCAGTCGTAGTTTTCTGAAAACTATCTGAATGATAGCTTTGTTGCATTTTAAGTCACTTCTCTTAAACTTCATCAATCAATCCTGTCTTTGTTGTTTCTATGGTTGCTATTGTGCATAAAATCGATTTCTTTTTTTTGCCTTTGATCAGCTTTGTTTTAATTTTTCTTGCCCATTTGTTGTATGAAATCTTCTTGTCATCAAGATTTTTGGTTAAGCTCATTGGAATAAATTTATTTTTACAGGTGTTACATTCGCGGTATATATAGTTTCTTTTATTTATGTCACAACAAATAATGGTACAAATATTTCCCAAGTTACTTTCAAAAAGGAAGTTTATTTATGAAGTGTGTTAGCAAAAAACGGAATATTTTTTATTTTTTGAATAAGCACAAGTTTCTTTGTCTTTGACGTTCAGCTCAACCACCGACACTGGCTTGAGACGTAGAAAGGTTGCATATGACATGTTGCATGACATTTGCGTCTGTATTTGATATACAAATCTTTTAGAGAACGCATCAAAACTTTCTTCTAAATTTTCTTTTTAGTTTCTATTTTTCCGGCATATTTTCTACTGTTTCTACCTGCAAAAATTATCGGATTTGTATAGCTTCCTTTAATCTTGTTCCAGTCACGGTTCTTTTTCTTTCATATTCAAGTTTGTTTGAAGCTTTTTTGATCATTTTGTACTTGATCAAACTGCTTGCCATTCCAATTAACTTGTTTTTTATAAAAAAAAGGATTAGCCACATATTTTGCCAGTACTTTTTTATTTCTATTTCCAATGACTTTGTTTTTTTTAAAGTGATGAAACAACCACTTTTCCAAATTAAAGTTTTTTTTATAATTTCAGGTGTAATTTTTCGATGAGAAGTTAATCTTCGTATGTGCGAACCTGGATTCGAATTTTGAAATATCTTGGTAGTTTTGACCGCCCAATTCTGACTTTCTTTTTTCCAACAGATTACCTTGATGACAATATTTCTTTAATATTTGTCAACACATTGGTGCGGCCGTGGCGCAGGAGTTACAGCGCTTGCTTTAAATGCAGGAGATCCATATTTGAAACGAGCTCTGGATATATTTTGGCGTCACGGTAAGAAAGAAAGCGTTAACTTCCTGGTTAAATGCACTTACGCGGTGCTCTATGAAAAGACCGTTAGATCTTCTTGGGGCACCTAAATAGCAAGCAAAAAAAATTTATTGTTGGCATGGCAGCATATTCCAATAATGATGCTTTTGCAGCTTTTCTATCTCTATACGCTTTAGAATTTCTTTTCCTTTTTTTTTGTGAGTTTCACGTTGATTTCTTTTGAGAATTCAAAAATTAAATTGTCCAGTTGTTCAATTTTCCTTTGCCTGCGATATTTTCTATCTTTTTGTCTGCGTTCTTCAATTCTGCTGATAGACTAGCTCTGTGTTTTTTTACTCACTCCCGTACTTGCTCTTGTTTTTTGTCGCTAGTCTAACTATAATACTGCTTTTTCTTTCTTTTTGAAGCACTTGTAGAAGGTTTACTTTTCTTTACTACAGCTTCATCATCTTCTGACTCACTAAAATGTGGAAGAGTTTCTGTTAACGTTTCTTTTTTATTTAATTTTGCCGTTGTGTTTTATTTCATTATTTTTTCTTTAGCTTCCTTATCTCGTAATATAGTAGCATTTTTTCTATCTGATTTTAGTTTGATAACCAAATTTGAATTTTTTGTCAGATACCTTTTTGTTAACTATCTAGTATAAAAAACAAATAAATTGTAAATTCAAAGCATCAAAAACTATTTAAAAATTTTCTTTTTAAAACTTTTTTCTTTCTAGATTAGTCAAAAAAATTGAAGAAACTTGCAGAACATTAAAAAAAAAAATGCACTAATTTTTTAGTAGGATGTCAATACTTTGTTGGCTTAAAGTGTTTATATTTTATTTTTTTCCTATGTGCAAGTTTTTATTTTGCATATGTCATTTCTGTAGCACACATGTCATTTCTGTAATAATTTAGTTAACAAAAAACGCAGAAGTGAATGCTACAGATATGACGTTTGGTCATAAAAAGAAATATAGTTGCTTCACTATTATAGTAGTCAACATGTTATTGAGCAAAATGTTATTGAACAACATTTTATTAAGCAACATGTTATTGAGCAACATGTTACGGAGCATTTCTAGTCCAAACCGGCATAATTAATATAGTATATCACAACTCAATAACATTTATATAAAATTAATTACTTTATTTGCGTTACAGGTATGACTTACCATAAAAACAAGGCCTCAATTCTTGATGTTTTATCGTAAAAAAATTCAAAGCCTAATAAAATAAAAATATATGTTTATATTTTTCATTAACAATATTCAATATGGCAGCTCCCTATCAACTTACTGTGATTCTGAAGTTCTAAAGTATTAAGGTCGGTAGGGAGTTACAGAAAAGTTGGTAGGGAGTTACAGCAATGACGTTTAAACACTTTCAGCTGATTTTTTATATAATAATCAGAACCTAATGATCAAAAATGATTTTTTCAGTAGAAAATGTACTAAATATTCAAAAAAAACATTTTTCATAGTTTCAATAACCAGTTTGGAAATAGTTATAGCCTTGAGACAGGGATTGTTCTCCTTTCAGATTTTGACCAATATACATAAATAAATTACCTATGATTGAATATTTAATAAATATAAATATAAAAAATCAAGATGAAATACTTATACATACAGCATTGGATTAGGAGAATACTGATACCCACAACTAAAGCACCGTTATAAATTATTCTTATGAGTACATTAGGATGCTTTTTAGCTAAAAAATTCAAAACAATAAACATATTTAGTTTGCTATAGATTAAAAATTATTAAGTTATAACAAAAATCTTGAGTAATATATGATAACTCTAAAAGAATTCAGAATATATTGAGAAAAAATACACAGTGAGTGTTACACAAACAAGTAAGCACAAAATTAAATAACGTATACTTTAACACCTCTAATAAGAGGCAATTTTGAATATAAAATTTAAATTTGCAAATGCATATGGGCAATTCCACGGCAAAAAAAGTAGTCAAATTTTGTTCTCTTTTTCGTCAAATTTTAGCTAGTGAATATTGATGTAGACACGTAAAAGTTTAATTAAAATATACCTTTAGTATTAAAATCAATTTATTAACGTCATTTTTATGCTTCCGAGAGTAACAGTTTATCATATTGTCGCATAATAAAAAAAAAGTATTATTTTAAAATTTTATTGTATTTGTATTTCTTTGCAAAATCGGAATTAACTTAGCATGAAAATGTAGGTAACAATTTTTTTTTTTTTTTTTTTTTTATTACAATATTTATGATACAGATACAAATAATATAAAAATGAAAAAAGAAAAGATAACAACGTTACCGTTACGTAATAAACGTAATAAAAATAATTATAAAGAACGCGGATACTCAGAGCAGACCATCAGGTTTTGTCTCATAGAAACTGCTATTAAACTATTAAACAAATGTTTTCTTCTTGCCCATGCTATTTGTATTTACAAATAGCAGGGGCAAGAAGAAAACATTAGTCTTCTTCTTGCCCCTATGGTAACCTAACTGTTAAAGAAAAACAAGTTAGCTTAAAAAATCTTGTCCTCTGGTTACTAAAAGTTAATCAAAGAGCTGACTAGCTAGATTCTTTTATAGAGAAAGATAAAATTATCGATGAATTAAAAAAAAAATTGTCGAACTTGAAATAAATAAAGCCAACCAAATACAAGATACCAACATGAATTCTCCTAATGTACAGAAGTTATACAACCAAAAAGAATCAGGCAAAAAGAACTGCATAACAAAAGAATTTCAAGCAGCTATTGTCATAGCAATAACTAAAAACAAAGAAGAAAAAACAAACCGCGAAACCAACATTATAATAAGTGGAATTGATCACGTCAATTCAAATACAAGAAATGATGAAGAAGCAACTCTTTTATTATTAAACAGCCTTGAAATTGCCAAAGAACAAGTTTAAAAAATTACACTACAATGAAAAAAACTAGCAACCAAACACATAGCAACACAAATATGATAAAGGTTGAGTTACTCTAAGCGAAAACAGTTATCACTGCTTTAGCAAAATCAAAAAATTTCAAAGATTACTCAGGAAAAACTTTTATAAATAAAGATTTAAGAGAAAACAAAAGAATTCACACAAAAAATCTTGGAAAAAAAAGAAATGATATTAATGACAAACTCAAATCTACAATTGGCAACAGTATTAGGCTATGATGTGACATTGATGGAAATCATGAAAATAAAAAAATATTACTACGGCATAAGGGATCAACAATTGAAAAAAAATTTAATTAAAGAATGACTTTATTATGTTTCGTCATTTAATTACCATTGATCTAAACGATCCTTTGTTTATTTAATCTGAAGCTTATACAAACGAAGCGGTTAACAATGTATTTAGTAGCAACATTGCCAAAATTTACAACTTTGGTAACTTTATTCTATCTTTTGATTTCTCAATAAAAAAAATACTATCAATTTGGCATCTAAATATAAACTCGATAAAGTCAAAATATATCACAGAAATCAAAGCAATACTTAGTTTAAATTTGATAGATGTAATAACGCTCAATGAAACAAAACTTAATGACACATATCTAAATTTATTATAAAAGAGAATAAATATAAAATTATTCTATTATGAAAGTAGTTGCTTATTAAGTTCAAAGCATCAGTTTTTCAACTGATGCTTTGAACTTAATAAGCAACAACTTTCATAATAGAAAAAAGTATTTATGTTTTATACATATATATATATATATATATATATATATATATATATATATATATATATATATATATATATATATATATATATATACATATATATACATATATATATATATATATATATATATATATATATATATATATATATATATATATATATATATATATATATATATATATATATATATATATATATATATATAGTATGATAGTGCCTTCTGTTGTTTAGGGAAATTTAATTTTTTTGCTTGTTACCCTCTCCTCATTGGAAGTTTTTTAAACCATCAAAATATTATTTGAAACTATGAAAGAAAAAAGATTGCTACCCCTATGCCTAACCCTTAGTTGACGTAGCAGCACTTCCTTTTACCGGCAGGCTATAAGATAGTCAATGTAGTAGCACTTCCTTGTTGAAGCAGGCTATAAGATAGTTGATGTATGTAGTAAAGCCAATAAATATTCTCTGTTTATATTAAAAAGTCACCATTTTAAGCATGTAATAAATAAAATAAAATTATTTTAGGCCAATTAACTACAGATTTATCGCTTTTCAACAACCATGTAATTCAAAGAGTTTTAGCATTGTTCATATTTTAAAAAAAACAGTCTGTCTGACAAATGTATAATAAATAAAACAGATTTTTCCTATAAAATTATATGCGTGTTGTATAAAAATAGATATTGTTTGGTAGCACAATTTTTATTTTTTTTTGATTTAATCCTTATTCTAAATTTGAATTCAACACAATTTAAATTTTTTATGATTTAATCCTTAAATTTAATTCTTAAATGAAGCTTGTTATGATTTCTAAAAAAAGAGTTACCAAAAAATTATCTTAATTTTATATCAAATTGTTTACTAAAAAATTGTTATAAAGAAAATAGTACTTTTAAAGGCTTTTTAAAGATTTATGGTAAAACTTTAGCCCTGCGAATCAGCAGTTTTTGTTTTGAATTGAATCTCGAATCAAAGCAGGTCTTGATTAACAATTTGAACCACATTTCCAATTAACATTTTGAAGTCTAAATTTGAGCATTTTTTATTTAATAATATATATTTCAGAATAAAATGAATAAAACAATTGTATAATCTCTTTATTGATCATTTTCGCCCTGGTTAGTCTTTTTAATGACTGATTAAAAAAGGTATTTAAGGATAAGTAACGTTATTTTGATAGCGCCAAAGCGCAGTATATCTAAAATACCACAAGAAAAACAAAATTAGAAAGTATTTGATTTTTGAAATTTTTGAATCATAACTTGAATCATATTTTTGATTTGACTCGATTGGAAATTTCGAAATCTAGCAGACCCATAGGTAAAACATTTTAACACTTTAATTTCAATATAACTTTCACAAGGCAGCTATATAATTTAAAAAATACAGTTGTAATTTTCTGTTAGTTAGTTTACACTAACAAATATTTTACTTAAACAAATATTTTAAAAAGTGTTCTTTTCAAAAATAAACTTTTCCAGTTTATAAAGTATAGTAGGGCAAGCAAAATGTACATACGAGCTGTTTGGATAGAAAATCGAGAGAAATAGAGAGAAATAACGATTAATAATTTTTTTTGTTAGCCATCATCATTAAATGTAGTAAATTGTTTCGATGAAATACATGAACCGCAGTCTAACTTATACAGATTTAAGCTGATCAAAATTAAATGTTGTGGAGATAATATTTCTGTATATGTTGTTTTTAGTATTTAAGATATATTTTTTATTATATAATATATTTAAAACATTTTTAAATTAAATAATTATTCTTAGATCATGAGTTATGTAATAATTTTAAATTTGCCATTACTAGTGATATTCAGATAGAACTATTTTAAAAGATTTAAACATAAGTTGAAAATTTATTCAAGTATTACTAATTTAATTTTGATATTATTTATTATAGGAACCACTATTATTCTTATGTACGAGTAAATATAATCCAACCAAAAATAACCAACAGAATAGTAAGCAAGTACCTACTCCTTTAACGCAAAAAAAACAACAACAACCTTTATGCATACTCCGCATACTGTAGCTCAAGGTATCGATTGTCTGTCTGCTAGTTGGTTTAGGAAAAAAATATTCAAAAGTTTTTTTTCAATGCTTCAGTAGTTTACACATTTTGTTTGTTGTTAAATAACATTTTTTATTTATTTATGAATGTTTTAAAATTGATTTTTTATTGTTGACTTTTATTTGTTTGTTATGACAATTTATTTCATTGTTATGACATTTATTTTCATTTTAGCATTTAGTAAAAGCTATTTTATTTCTAGTATTCTATTATTAATTATTTTTTTACATTGATCGATATAATTTTTAATCTTAAAAATATTTAGATCAGCAATGGCAAGATTTTCCTGAGGAAAGAGAGGATTTTAATATAGTGCAAAGCCAAGATGGCGCACGTGTTTTTCCGCAGAAAAGAAAAAAAGTTGTTTTGCTAGAGACACCTGCATTAATTTCCCCTATAAGAAAAGCTACTCAAAAAGATTCATCATCGAATAAAAAGTCTCTCATTACTGAGGAAGGTATGTACAATATTTGGTATTTATTTTGGTATGCATTCATTTTATTAATTAGTAAAAAAAAGCAAGAACCCATATACGGGTAGGAGTGAACCAAGGAACGGGTTGGAGTGAGTCGTTAAATTTATTTACTAGATTAATAAACTTAGGCATTGTCTTAAACAAATTAAGTAAAAATTAGATAAGGATCATAAAAATTACTAATATTCAATACAACTAAGTAACAAATTAAAAATATATTTATTATTTCAATTTAATCTAATAAAATTAAGTTTATAAACTACAAGAATAATAATTTGTTCACATTTTGTATTACTAATGTCTTAACAACAAAAAAACAACTGCAATGTCAAAAAATAAATGAGAAATGTTAGAAAAATGAAATTTTTTATTTGCAACATATAGTACTGTAATAGCATATATTACAATAGCAATAAAATAATTAGGGAATATTGATAAAGTCAAGTACAACCTCAAATTTGTGATGGTAATGTCTTT